TCGAATTCAATACTTGAACCAATATAAAAATTATGACCTTTATCAGTTATACGAATGATAAGATCCATATTTTTAATTATTTGTCGAATTGATCGGGCAATTTGTGCTTGTTCACGAGTTTGCAATTGAACTTTATATGGTAATGGAGTAGAATAACATTGATTAAGATAATCTAAAAGATGATTTGAATATTCTGTAAAAATTGGATGGTTTTTTGGTACACAATGAGGTTTATTGACAAGGTGACTTTTAACCTTTTTATAAATATCTTCATATTCATCTTTAATTGCAACTTCTTGTTGACGTTGAGGACGAACAGCACTTTGATTTGATCTTATATAATATGGTCCTAAAATATGTTGAAAATTAATAAAATAATAATAATAATAATAAATATATTCTAGATAATATCTTACCAAGTGAAAGATAATTCCATTGACGTGTATCAAATGGATTCGAAATTAGATCAAGATAGGGTTCAGGCCATACACCAATAACATCTTTTATTGATGATGAACGTTGACGATTTTGAAGAATTACTTTTCGAAAAGAGGACATTTTATTATAAATATCATTTTTTAATTTTGATATTCGACAATTCATATATTCTTGAACTTGATTGAGAACAGATGTACTAGTGGTAGTCATATTCTTTGATATATATGATTCCAATTTGATATATTCATTTTGATATTGTAATTCATATTCTATTATTTTCATCTCATAAGTATTTAAAATATAGTTTAACCATGTACGTTTTGCTTCTTGTATGATTTTATAATGTTTATTTTTTACTTCAATACTTTTTTGATCATTATTCAATGGTACATAACTAATAGATGCCATGAAACTTTGTAAATGAACGAGATTTTGTGGTAAAAATTTACAATGAATACGTATTTCTAACATTAATTGTTCTTTCCAAATTGCTGCTTGTTTTTCTCGTATTGTCATTAATTGATCTATATAATTTTCCTAGAAAAGAATTATTCAAATATATATATAAAATATATATCATTGGTTAAAATTAATTTAGATTTACTTGTGTATTAGTTTTAGGTAAATTCGTAGATATTTTTCTAAATAATTCTGCTTGATGAATATCATCTTTAAACTTAATCAATTGATCATTGTTTCTTTGTGATATATATTTTCGTTCACGAGCCACCAATTCTTTAAGACGTTGTTCAATTACATTAAATGATAATTCCCTGATTGGACATGTTTGAGAATATTTTGTTAAGTCAAATTGACATTGATTCAATTGTTTTTTGATATTCTCTATATAATTCATTAAATAGTCTTTACATTTATTGAAATCATATGTTTTTGCCATTTTATACAATTGATCCTATTGTTTTCAAAAATACAAAGAAGTATATTGTAAAAATGAATTAAAAATAAACAAACTTACTGGCCATACACATTGTTGTAAACCAATATCTAAATATGATTGCCATAATTCTTGATCTCTTTCTAAACAATATTGTTGATCTAATAATTCAAGTTGTACATGAAGAAATTTTTTTTCATCTTGTTTCTTTAATGTATAATTTAATGTTTTATTTAATATTTGGCAAAGTATCGATGATGATCGTGTCAAATACATTGGACATCTATATAATATGAAGTATATTGTAGATATTTTAAATACTAAACATGTTTTCGAAAACATACCGGTAATTGTTATTCATATTGGTATTAGTATTATTTGCATATAGTGTAGCAGTAGTCATCTTTTTCGATGATGGCTGCACGATGGATATTGAACTTGTAGTTTTTGACAATTGTTGCGATGATATATCTCGTTTACGTTTAAAAACATTTGCTGTTGTTGTTGTTGTTATTGGTTGTGATTGATTAGTTTTTCCAGTTGTTAATTGTATACTATAATTTGTCGTAGATCTTTTAGGCTGCTGTTTTTGAATTTTCTTAGGAATATGATTTCTTTTCTTTATTAGTTTTTCTATTTTCTTTGGTTTCATTTTAAGAGCGCGGCATTTTCTTCTAAAACGTTGGTTTCGTCGATTACCATGACACTTTTTCTTTTCCTCTTGTTGTTGTTGTTCATTTGGAAAGAATCGCCCATTATTTTGTCTATTCGAATCGTTTGTATCCATTACTGAATATAATAGTAATCGTTAGTTTATGAATAAATTTGTAAATCTATCTAAAATGAACAACAAGAATAGCTACTAATCTACTGAAAACAAAAAATTTTAAAAAAATGTCAAAATTGTTATTTGAAACTATATGGTTCAGAACTTGAGTCAAGAGAATCGACTTTAAACTTGTAGATACATTTAATACTTTCACTAATTTTCATACAACATTGATGCATAAGATCAAGCATCTTTGGAGATATTTTTTCATTATCAGAAGATGGTAAACGATAAGTGTTCCACATTTTCGTTAGATTAGTCTCATGTTTTTTCTTATATTCGTCTTGTTGTTCTTTAGCTGTCTTCATATAAAGTGTAAATATATTTGCTCGTGATTGTTCGGCAATTTGCTTATATTGTTGCAATAATTCTTGTCGAATATTTGGATCTTGTATAGAATTAATTAATGGATCCTGAGATATTGGTGAACATTCAAATGATTGACTTGGTGAATTATAATAAATAATTTGTTGTTGAAGAAAATGAACTTCTTGCTCTGTTGTTTCTTGTTCATATTTACTTT